ATAACAATGGTTAGCAGTTGAAAAACGTTCTTATTTACTCCTTGGTGTTTGAAAACTTGTTTTGGAGAATAATGGTTTCAAGTTTGAAAAAATATCACAAGTTTACGTTGATTATTTTTTGAGAAATTCAGATATAGATTAAGACAGACTCCTGGAATTAGGCTAGCGCAGAAACTGATTTATCTGCCTTCCTTCATAAGTATTCTGGCACCAGAACTTGGATTCTTTGATCGACCTGATTTTTGGAAAGTCTATGAAGAGAACTGTTCTTTCAACTTAACGAAACCAGTCTTCTTTGTTGGCTGGAGTGATATATATGTATATATATTTAATTTTATAAATTTAGTTATTTATATTTTGACACTCATACTTTTGTTAGTTCGGTATTTTTTGTGTAAAAAATGACCATCAGTTTTGAAGCATCCTTCGAGATATAGTCGATACATTCTAACTTTTTTCTAACATCATCTGAATCTGTTTTTCAGTATAAACACTAGTTTTTCTGTTTATGCAATTTTGTCTTGCTATTTTATCAGTTTAAAAAAAAATTTTTGGTTTTTTTATTATAATGATTCTATTGTAGTAATTGCTTCATCCTTAATATAAAAATATACGTAAAAACAAATAGTTTTTGGACGTTTAACACCAATGTGGCGGTCAGAATCCTTAGTAATTAGAATTAAAATTTAAATGTCACTGAATGGTCCCTATAACAACAGCATCCTAACATCAGCCGGCGGAAACAGTTATGGCTCTAACTGGGAAGAATTAGATGAATTAGTGGTCTACTGAGTTACCGGATGGTCAGTAGTAGTTGTCGCTTTTTTGACCGTTGAGGGCGTAACTGTTTCTGTTTGAGAATTTTACTTGGAAAATTAATCTGATTTTGTTGCCTTCTGGGACTTTTTTTGGACCTGGTATGGTTCAGCAAATAGGTCGAATTTTAGGAACAGAAAAGGTTGGAAAAGATCCGGGGAAAAGGGCTGAAAAATGAAGGAAGGCGGAGACTAGCTTTGGTCAGGGTAGTTGTGTGAGAGAAGGGTACGAGAAAAAGAGAATGAGACGAGAGAAGATGGAGAGACAGGGAAAAAGAAACGGAGAGAGAGTAATATGGGTGTATGTTTTTGTGTGCCCAAAGGGGAAAGGGGGGGTAGTGCAAGAGCAAAACGAATCTTCGTTCATCAGACATTTGTTGCAGTGTTTTAGTAATAATTTTGGAAAAAAAAAAAAGAAAAAAAATTTCTGATCTTTACTACAAAATTCAGTGTATGCGGATTCTGAACCACTGGTACTTCTTGTTTTGTTCGACATCACCAACGTCATCATCCTCGACATCATCATCACCGCCACACCATTACCATCACCGTCATCATCACCATCCTCGCTATCGCCATCATCGCAATCACTATCACCGACATCGCCACCAACAACACTACTGTCACCATTTACAACAGCGTCTACAGCAGCAACTGCAGTAAGTACAGCAGCACTGACATCAAAATCGGTATCTGTGCCTGGTTTGTATTTGTATCTGTATCTGCATCTGCATCGTTGGCAAAGTCGACGTTGAAAGAGATACTGCATTCTACTGTTTTACTATTGCTGTCAATATTGTTATTTCGTTGTCCTTTTAGTCGTCTACCGCCCCCTTCCCCCTCCCCCCACCTCCCACATCATACTGCCGACTTTTGGTATTCAGTAAAATTAACTGACCGTTGTTAAATATTCATTTGGCATAACTGGAAATTACTAATTAATATTAATAATACTATTACAGTCCTCTTCGTTGGAGTTATTATTCTTGCTTATTTCTTCTTATTTATTTTCTTTTTTGTCTTTTTCGTTTTTTGTTCTTCTCTTCCTATTTTTCGTCCTCTCTTTCCCCTGTTATTTTTTCTAAGAATAAACTGGGCTTCTAGAAGCCTTACAAGCAGTAAAGTCTACTTACTGTTTGTGACTAGGGGCTAAAGATGATATTTTTGAGAGGAGTTTTAGCAATGAGGACAAGTTGCATTTTGATGCTCAAAGTGATGTTGCTGATCAATTTGCTAATGTTACGTTGTTGCAGTGCTGAAATCATTTCTGCAGTTGATAACGCAGCAAAAGTTGATGATTTAGAAGTTGCTAAAGAAAAGGTTAGTTTTTTGTTTGTTTCTTTCTTCATTCACATAATTTCTTTGCTTTTTTAATCGAAAAGATCTCTTACTTTTTTAGTTGCTTTGTCCTTCACCATTAATATGTACATGCATGCATATACACATCTCTTGAGTTGTTATCGGTTTACTTCTTTTTTTTTCGTTAGCAAGTCTATAGTTTAATAGGACAAAAAAAGAATGTTTTCAACCAAATGTGAATTTCGTTGTTCTGCTTCCTTTCGTTCCTTTTCTATGTTTATTCGTTTGTTTAGTACAATTTATTTTAAATTGTTACTTTTTCTTCAAAAAGTTTGAAACACGTTTCAGACTGGAAATAATCTTTTTTTACTTTTTAGTTCTTGTAAGCAATAAAATTAAGTAGCATTTTTACAGTTAGTTCTTGTAAGCAATAAAATTAAGTAGTATTTTTACAGAAAATTTTGAGGAAGAAAGAATGGTGAGAGAAGTTAAACTGCTTGTTGCTTTAGTGATAACTATCGTTTCTAGCAGGCCAAAACAAAAAAATGAAAAGCTTAATTCTTAAAATAGTTGTTTTCTGTTGGATAAGCAGACCTTTTTTTTAATTCCAGTCGTTTTTTTTTTTTTCTTGAAACTTTTTTTAACTGCTTTGTTCTTGCATTATTTTTGCCGTCCTTTTACCCATTATTAAAGCATCAATGACAAAAGCCTAGGAAAACTGCTGTTGAGTTTTTTGACAATAGTATTGTCGATGAATGGCTGTTATTGACAACGGCAATGGAGCGATTAGCTCTTTTTTTTTTTTCAGTGAGCAAAGTACGGCTAATTTTCTCTTTTTTTTTTTTCTGGATTGCTGGGAACACGGGCAGATGGATGGACGCCTGTAGCTAGGCTCATGGACAGTCGGGTGGATGAGTAATGAATTAATGAATCAAACTTAGAGAGAGCGTAGGAGAACGGGAAGGGTAGAAGAAAGACAGTAGTGTTGAGAACAACCTTTTACTATTACTTTCCTTTTACTATTACCTCTAAATTTTAGGTCAAAAAACGCAAAACTAAAAATGGATCGTTTCACTTTAAATCAACTTTCAAGTAAAATTTTTGGTTTGTTTTATTTAGCAGTTTATAAAAGGGCCGAACAACACGAACAGTCGCAGTTGTCAGTCTGTCTCTGATTTTTTAAAATTTTTTTTGTTCAACAATCGTACCGTTCTCGTTACCCATTCCATCATTCTACCCATCTCAACGTCTCACCTACACGCTTTGTTAAAGTACATAGACAAGTAGGACAGTGGCAAACGACAGTAAAATTGATTTTAATCATTATGACTGGATAACTGTTACCTGTTCACTGTGTGAGGACAATAATAAATAAACGAACTTGAAGAAAACTAAATGGTTGGAAAAAAA